TTTTATCTATAAAATTACGTATTTATTAATTATACAATTTTTATTATGTAATTTTTAATAAAACCTAATCTTCCTTTTATAAAAAAAATGTTAAGATAATAAAAATTATTTACGATTATCAGGACATGATAATCAAGAGGAATTTTTTGTAAGAATGTATAAAAATAATAAATTTACTTTTTTTTTATCTAAGCTGAAAGATAACATCTTCAAAATCTGCGAAGGAGAGTCACACATCGAATAATTTTTTTCCATGAGGGTTTCGCCGCAAGTGTTAAAAAAATTCCAGAGAAAGTTCGGGTGGTATATAACTGTAACCTGTAACGAATTCTCACCTCCTGTCTGATCGATGTTCACGCAGCGTGCCAGATTAAACCGCAAAAAAAAAATCCAGAGAAGGCGGCGAGCTGTCGATCAGTCACAGTTTCGCGATCGCGGGCTTTCACGAGCGCCGTCGGTGCTCTCGCGAGCGAATGTCGACGTTGCGCTTCATCATGCAGAAATGCACTCTTCTTCGATTTTCGGTATCGGTCGAGAGATATACGTGCGTCTCGCGCGTAATATCCCGCGGACGCGATTCGCAAATGTAAGGGGAAAAAAAAAAACAACCCGGGGTGTCTTCGCACAAGGACGAGAACAAAAAAAATTTCGGAACACCAGGAGATAGGAGGGAAATTTCAATAAGTACGAAAACGAAGTTGTTGGACTACGGAACGCGCAAAAATAAAGAAAAGAAGAATTCTGACAAGAAGGTAAAAAATTTCGAGGACGCTTAAATCGCGCAATGAACGAAAATCTTGAAGGATTGATAATCGATACTAAAAGTGCAACGTCGTAGAGCGAATGCCGAAGCTGCGACGGAGCAGCGCGAACGTACGCGACGCACGGACGGCAGTCAGCGGCCAACTGAGGTCTCGTCGGAGTCCGGAGAATCGAAAGGATGACGCCAGGCAGCCAGCCAGCCGGTAGCAGAGGAGGTGAATCCACCACGCAACCTCCAACCGGCCTCAACCTGCGACACTTTTCTCTCTAGACATGATGATTACAATATCCGGTATCGATGATTTCACGATGTGTAAGAGTGATGGAAACAATTTACAACACACCTGGCGAAATTATCTCAGGTCGATTGTATATGCCTATGTAGAATCGGAACATCCCACGCGATGTGAATTCTGCGAAGATTATGCGATTGAAATTATTCAGGAGGTCTGATAACGTCGATAATGTTCGAGGCTGTACGACACTTTTGCGTGGGAAAAAATATAATATGCGATAGAATTCTAGTAAATTTTATGGAATTGGCAAATCCGTAGAGGGTCAGGCATTCTCTCACTTATGTAAAATTTACTTTACTTTTCTGACAAATGAGCGATCGTCGTATAACGACACGTACTGTAAGGTATAATACTTTTATTCATAAAGTATATTTCATAAAGTAAATGTATAAATTACCATACATCTCGATAGAATTTACTTTGTCATCGAGTATTTTATAGCGTTGACAAAATTTATTTAACTGCAAAAAATACAAGTGTATAAAGTTAAGAGTTGCGCTCGTTTGTTGCTTACAGTCTTGAGAATAATATGATTCACTTTATTGTAAGTAAAATCACTTGACTGGATTTACTATAATTGTAATGTATTATTTACATACCTTACACCCCTAATATTTTTACTTTTAGGCAAGTAAAATTATAAGTTTGGTAAAAATAGCTAGAATATTTTAACTAATCTTGTAAAGTAAAAATTATTCAACCATTTCTCTCCGTGTGAAAATTTATATTTTAAAAAACGATTTTATAAAGCAGAGACGTTTATACAAAGGTCTTCTGTGTTCTCAGTTTATCCTCAAAATCTTTACTTATGATAAAATAAAATATTCTGTTTTTTTAAGCACTGCGCTTATCTTTACAATCCTATAAATAATTTCAAACGTATATCTTTGTCTCTTTTGATAATGAATATTAATATTCATATAATACTTCTAGAATTAATAATAAACAATATAATACAATGTATTAGAGAGGACAGTGAAGAAATTGCAAACTTGAGATAAATGTGAACGATACTATCAGTATATTGGAATAACCATAAATATGAAATAACCATTTATTTTTCACATCCAGTGATGGTCCGATATACCAGATATACGTTTATAATTAATGTTATATTATAATACGTAACTATAAAACACACACACCGTTTAAGATAAATACTATTACATGTTTTCGATGTTTTTGATGTAAAAGAGATAGAAAATTGGGGAATTGCGCGAATATCTTAGGAAAAAGTCAAATAAAGCCAATTATTTATAAATCATAAAATTTTTATTTAAAGGATATTGACTTTAAACTACATCAATTAACACGTATATATTGTTAATATAAACTATAATTTTAAATAAAACAAAACTCGATTCAGCATTGCCAAGCGTGACGGCGGGCAATTCCGAAAGGTTTTACTTTTTGTTTAAAATTATAGTTTAATATATGTATGAATGTTAACTGTTGTTGTTTAAGTCAAATAACTGGAGTACCTTTTAAATAAAAATTTCTATAATTGATAAATAATCGTCAGCTTTATTTAATTGTTGCTTTAGCTTATTTCATTATATTAGCAGTTAATTCCTTACTTAGTTATCCATCAATATATTAATAGTATATTACATATATTTCTGCTCTCTATAACTTTTAATGATGAGTAAATCTCACTCCTAGAAATTGACAATTGAACCACTCTTTTTCAAGACTCGTTCAATTTTTCACTCTTAAGGCCCGTATTTATACCGTTTCTCAAATCTCATTTCAAGAGCGTATCAGATGAAATACTCAGACTAGAGTCTAAGACACAGACGATTCAATAGTCATGTCTTGATTAAAAAAAAAATAATATAATATTAATATATTATATACATGTATGAAGATTATAATGCATTCTAATATAAATATTATATAATTTTTTTTTCTCAAGTTATCTCCGGGCAATACTTATGTAATACGAAAATTTTCTCGACTCAAAGAATTAGCGAATACAACTTTCGAGGTTATTACAAGATCTTGCTTCAAGACTCGACTATTGAATCGTAAAAAATATCTCGAGATAAACTTCATTTGAATTTCTCATTTGAATCGCAATTACAAATCAGCTCTCAAGATTCGTCTATTGAACTGTTCCATGACTCAAGATTAGTCACAGCAGAAACACGACTATAAATACGGGCCTTAGAGTGAGATTTCGTTCCAAAGAAACTTGAGAATTAGTTCGTAATTTTATTTGTTTCTGATTATTAATGATATTATTCAAAATTACCTACGGTGATGATATCATCTTATTATAAAAATGCCAAAGGAAACCGAAGAGCCAAGAGTTCTTTAATTAATAATTTCATTTTTTAAGACGATCCAGAGCCGCGATCGATGCGAAATCATTGTGAAGCGATGTTTCTCGCGAGATGAGGTGCGAGAAGGCCGAAATGTAGGCGCGCGCACGTTCCTATACGCGATATTGTAAACGGACCAGTGTGCTCCTGACGTGTCGATATATTCCCGCGAAGAAAGGCTCTGCCGCTGAAGCTGAGAAATAGCTTGGCCTCCCGTACCTCCCACCGCTCTCCCCGACACCGGAGGAGTGTGCAGCCTCACCTCATCTCGGCACTTTGAATCCTGCGCCGCTCCTTTGCCGCTCCGCTTTCAGCGCGACATCGATCACCGTTGTGCTCACGCGAAATCTCTGCACG